GGCTGCGCTACCAAGCCCCCCGCCCTAGGGCAGTGAGGCCAGACCATGCCCCCAGCCCTCCCCTGCTGTGCCAGGATCCCCCCCTGCTCCCCCCCAGCCCCACAAAGGATCTATGCCCCCATCCCCTCTGTATTTACCTGCCCCGCTAGCATCTCATAGAGCAGCACCCCGAAAGACCACCAATCCACTGACTTCCCATAGGGCTGGTAGGCGATTATCTAGGGCAGGGAGAAAGGAGGAGCAAGTTGGGGGGGATCACAAACCCCCAGCTCCTTGCGAGGGAGGCAGAATCACCTTGAGAGAGGGGAAAGCGCTGGGACCTCCGGCACCCCCCCATGGAGGGACTTTAAAAAGGTGCACTTCCCCTTTAAGAGTATCCCTCCCACCCCACCCCGCAGAGCAAACTGGGATTTGGGATGAGGGAGGGGCGATCTGCAATGCAGGCAGTGCTAAAGCACAAGGGGGGGCAGGGCCAGCCTTGTTACAGCCCCTCCCATTGGTTTATCCCTCCCTTCCTGTCCTCCCCAGCTCCCAAAGCTAGTGGCTAAGGTGAGGGGGGAGGAGTCACTTCCAAAAGACCAGCCCTGCCCAAAAACAGACACCTACTGTGACGCCCTGTATCCCATATGACACCCTGTGCCCCACGTTCACCACTTTGTATATGGTGAGGTTACCGTTTGTACAAAGCATGTCTTGCAAGAAAAAAAAAAATCTCATTTGAAAACTCATAATCTGCTGAACATCATTGTCCCTGTGCTCGCGGGACTACCATTGTTGTGTACAGTGCGATAAGATCTTATAGCCTGATTGCTACTATAACTCTGGCTGACACCTACAAGCCTGTTTCTCGGAGACACAGGCACATTTGGCTGGTTGGAACCATTATGTGGTTAATCAGATGTTAAACAGACGAAGGGGAAGGTATAAACGAACCAATGTGCAATTTATATGAAGAGCGACTGTTTGCTGAGCTCATCCACCAGGGAGCTGCCTAGCCCCACGAGCCAGCGAGGACTTTCCCCACACAGGGTACGAAAGGAGAACACACAAGTCACCAATTACCGCCCCTCATCACCGTAGCACCAACGAAGACTGAGCAAAGGGGAGTGGGTTGAAATGGACGGCTGCGCTGTTGGCACAGACTGGGTGTCTCTCCCCCGAAAGCCTTTTGAGCTTGATCATCTTTAGGAATTAGCCTGTTTCTTTTGTACCTGAAACGTATTTCGTCCCTTGCAATTGGACTCCCTCGTGTAACCGCCAGGAGCTCTTTCCCAGTGCGGTTTGGGAAACCTCTCCCCAGGTCAGCAAAGGCCGGGGCGTATTCCTAACAACGGCTGAGTGCGCTGGATGGTGCGCATGTCGGGGGGGGGCAGGCAGGGGCCGGGGAATTTGTGGGAGTCACCCTGTGTGTATTTCCTGTGTGGCTGGGTGAAGGCAGCGGGGTGTGACTCCACACCCCGAGGGCTGTGTGGGGGCAGAGCCCTGAGAGGCACCTGGAGCTGGAGAATAAAAGGGAAACAGCAGTCCCACCGTCGTCACACGCCCCCACCCCTCCCATGTAAGGCTCAGGGAGCCAGGACACTGGGAGGGGATTGGGGTCTAGTGGTTAGAACAGGAGGCTGGGAGCCAGGATTCCTGGGTTCTCTCCCTGGTGCTGGGAGGGGATCGGGGTCTAGTGGTTAGAACAGGGGGCTGGGAGCCAGGATTCCTGGGCTCTGGCCGTGGCAGGGGAGTGCGGGCTAGTGCCAGAGCGAGGGTGGCTACCTCCGGGGCGATGTAGTCGGGGGTCCCGCAGAAGGTCCGGGTGGTGGCTCCGGGGAAGATGTTCTCTTTGCACATCCCAAAGTCGGTGATTTTAATGTGGCCCTCAGCGTCCAGCATCACATTATCCAGCTTGAGGTCCCTGCGGGGAGCGACAGGGCTGGGCTCTCGCCTCCAGGGGGCGCCGGCTCCCACCCGGCCCCGGGGTGGGGGGTAGAAACTGGAGCCAAGCAGGGGCAGCTTTCCACTCACCGGTAGATGATGCCCTTGTTGTGCAGGAAGAAGAGGCCGGTGGCAATCTCAGCTGCATAGAACCTGTGGGGGCCGGGGAGAGGGAAATGTGGGGTGGGCAGAGATAAGGAGCCGGGGGG